TTTCTTTCTTTCTTTCTTTCTTTCTTTCTTTCTTTCTTTCTTTCTTTTTTTTAACAAGGCTTCAAATTTGTAATTTATAGTAACTCAAAAGTTAAAACCATGGCCTCTCCAATTTGAGGGAGGGAAACTTGCAGAATATATATATATATTTTTTAAAGAAAGCAGCCAAGGTAGTAATCTAAAAATAGTCCCTAGGCCTGTGAGCGCTGGCCTGAGGCTGAAGCACACACTGTTGAGCTGGATGGCTCTGGCCCTGGGTGGCCAGGGAGGTCAGCCTGACCCTGCCACAGTGGTTTGATGTGTGAAGTCACTGGGATCATTGTTTCTGTGACCGGGCTCTCAGCACCACGGGCAGAATATTAAGTGAGAGAGTATTTCTATCCTGATTATTGACACATGAGAGACCAAAAGAATTTTTGTGAACTTAGCCCTGGAATTCTTTGGACTCTCCAAGGAATTTACAGTGGTTTGAAATGGGTGTCAGCATTTTTCCATGAGGACTTTAATAAATTTAGCCCCTTTTGCTCAAGGTTCCTTTCAATTGTGAAATGCTGATCACATTAGTTTTTCAGGGGTCTAGCTAAGAGTAGCCTCCTATTGGGAGGTCATGAGGACATCCCCCCATGTCTTTCCCCGTCCCATTATGTCCAGATTCTGTCTATGTGTGCTATGACTTCCCAGTTTGGAAAATGCAACACTATGATCACTGATTTCATATTCCTATTTGCTGTTCACCACACCCAGGAACTTTCTGTAAAGGACACCTCAAAGGGAAATTACTAATATCTAGTTTCTGCTTGTAAACTAAGAGGAACATATGACTATTTCTAACCGTAAAGATGTTGACGAGGAGTAGAGCTGTTTCTGTGCTGGTAGATGTTTCCGTGGTCTGTGCTAAGAACTTAGGGAACTCAGGAGGAGTGTGTTAACTTTACTCCTTATTGTCTGAGTTGAGAATCATTTTATCTCCCAAGTGTTCAGTTCTTTTCTGTGAATCATTGTTATCTGAGTGTCCTTTCCAGGAAAAGTGGAATGAATAGGGAAATAAGAGATTCAAAGCAAAGTACATGTCGGTAACACATATGGGGTAGGCTGTTTTGTTGTTTTATTTTAATCGATATTTGGCTGGTAACTTTGTGTACCAGTGCATTTACCTAATAAAATGATAATTTGATACACCATCTAGTTGTTACCAGAGCTGAACCAAACCCTTAAGTGACTGCTGTGAGCTTGCCACTAGGTGGCGGTGCCTGTGTAGATGGTGAGAAAGTCCCCACCATTAATGGACTGTGATCAGAAGCTCAATGGTGAAATAGGGATGCCAGCCCCAAATCTTTAATTTTAGTTAGTAACCAAAAGTTTGTTGGGACAGTGATTATGTAGTTTCCTTCTGTCTTGAATGTTTTCTGTGCCTGTCTTCGTTTTTAACTCTGAAAATGTCCTCTAACTCTGTGCTATCAAATTTCTGTGTGTGAAGTCATTAGCCGTATCATTATCTCCCTTTAAGGAATCAGTGTATCAGTCCTTTATACTTAGAAGTGTGGACACTCTTCTCTAACCCCTTCTCTACCATAAATGTTGCACATAGGTTTATGAAGTGTTCAGTAAGACAGACAGTGAAATCCTGTGGCCAAGTTTGTACCATAAAAGGACGCCATACATCACACCAGTAACACAGGACATTCAGAATGCTCACAGTCTTTTTTTTTTTCTCATGTGTGTGATAGGTAGAATTTTTTGCTAAGCATTTTTATGTTGTGATTTACTCATTTATAACTTAATAGAAGTCTTGGATTTAAATTTACAACTCTCCTGTTTGGTATATTGTTATAATTTGGAAAGGATAATTTGAAGTTAACTGAAATAATGGAAGTTGAATTTATACTCTGCATTTTTAAAAAAAGTCTTGTTATTAATAAGTATGATTAAACTTTGTTTTTAAAAATGTGTTTTTCTGTAATTCTTTATGTCAACCTTAAGAATATTTATTACACGCTTTATATCAGACCTCTTTCCTACACATGTAAGTGCACCATTGAAGTCACTGGACAGATGTCTGAGGCGGGGACAGATAGCACAGTTACAGTAAGGAACAGTCAGGCCCTGACAGTGTGCTGCTGTGTGTCTGCTGGGCCTTCCTGCTCATTTTTCCTACCAGGCATGTGGTAGGAAGGATTTGTGTGAGCGTGCACATGTGCATGTATGAAGAATACTAGCATGCCATCTACTTCCCACCTATTTTGGAGTCTTAGGTAGTTAATAAGAGGTTGGGAGGTCTTTAATTTTTTTTTAATTCTGTAGTATGTGTAGGTAGGTACATGGATACATACATGCACAGTAGCTGAAGGTAGAGGAAGTTGGGGTAGCAGGACATGTTTGTCAGAATGTGTACATGAAGATCACATGACTATTTTGTGGAGTAGGTTGTTTCCTTTAACTCTATCTCATACACTTGAGCGTAAAACAGCCCTATAAAGAAAAAAAGTCTCTTCAGAAGAGCTGTGGACTAGCATACAAGGTATGTGGGTTGTAGGCCTGGTTTTGTAATGAACTAGCAGTATGTTTGGGCAAATGTGATCTGTCCTGACATGAATTCCTTGTTAAGCAGATAGGTGGCTTTGCAGCTTAGGTTCCTTGAAGCAGTGCTGTTGCTGTGTGCTTGAGTGATATTTGGCAGTCTGAAGTGTCAGTTCCTGAAGCAGGGATCCAGGCACAGAGTTTGTAGTTTGTGTTTGTCCTGCTTGAGACCAGTATGACAGTTCTTTGCCAAGGAGTTCTGAAGAGAAAATCAGTAAATCAAACTTTTTTTCATAAGGGTAAAACTGAAATGTACTACTCGATTTACCTTGGTAGGTATGTCTAAATATTGGCTGCTCCCACAGCTAACCAGTATTGATTATATTTGGTTTACATTTGCAGCTTCTTTCAAGTGGGTTTGAGAAGCTTTAACCTTAGTGTGCAGTTTTCCAGAATCCACTGAAAAGGAAAGGAGTTTGCAAAAACATTTTTTAGTTTTCTTGTAAGTGTAGTCCAAGTTGGCCACAGATTTGAGACCTCTCCCCCTTCAGTTCTCAAGTGCTAGGATGACAGATGTGTGCTAGCACTCAAAGCTTGCAGCACAAATCTCCTTTTTTTCTTTTCTGTTTTTGTTGGGATGATGAAGGTTGAGAGAGGGTCTAATGTAGCTCTAGCTGAATTCTGGGTCCTTTGGATTCTACCTCTCTGAGATGGGAGTGTGAGTGTGCAGTACTTGTTTCAGCCTGTTTTAGTCACCGTGACTCTCAGTGCAGTATAGCTTTTGGTATAATTTAGGTGATTACTGTTTATCTCATGGTGACATTTTATTTGTATTTTATATATGGGAGAATGTATAGATCTTAAAGCCTTAAAATGAAAGACCCAAAAGATGTATTATGAGATTGCAGATGCCTTTATTACTCTAAGCAAATGAATCGATTTTCATTTAGACAGCACTCCACTCATACATACAATAATTCAGTAGTTAAATTTACAATGAATAGCTGGAAAGTTAATTCATCTCCATCATTAATCAGATACTCATGGGTGAAACTTCCAAGTTGCCTACTAGAATCTAGGTAGTAACAATCATATTTCGTGGTATCTTTCACTGATAGTCAAAGATTTAGAACTTAACCATGTGGTACATATCTGAAAATGATTTTAAGTTCATATATTTCTTGTGTAAATCGTAAAGTGATGAAGAACTTGCTAACTAGATGAAGTAGAATGTCCATCTATAGGTAGACAGTTAGAAAATGACGCCTCCTTTACAGAAAACAAAACAACAAAACCCCTTGTGTTTTATCCTTATTTACAGATACTCACACAGTATAGTCTTTCAGTTCTTCTCAAGTGGGATACAGTGAGGGGAATTAGCCTGTAGAGGCAGGGCTAAGGGTATCAGATTCTGAGTGCAAAGCTAAGCCCCTTTATTCCATGCAAAGAGCTTTCATGCATACGGTGTAGTGTGTGATATGATTAGAATCAGGAGCTTCTTGAATATTTTTGCTTTTTCTTTTGGGCAAGTTAATTCATCTAGCATATGCTGAGGAATGAGAAAAATTTTTTTTTTGATTTTACATTGCCTATGATTTGTTTTCATGTTAATAACTTCAGGAAATATCAAGCATTATATAGTAATGTCCCAATAGCAAACTGAACACATTCTGGGTATTTATAGGTTTAATTACAAAACTGAGCATGTATGTGTTTTTAAAGCTCATATATTTAAACTTAACAGAAATTGTGCCTACAAGCAATTGAAAAGGTATATGCAGGCTTTGTTAGAAGGTAAAAAATGAACACTTAACATTTGATTTAAAGCTGTTTCCATAGCCTTGTAACCGTTTTATAAATTAGCATTATGTATCTAGTAAAGATTGGGGTAGTCATGCCTTTATAACTATGTAAATGGATATGTTAGAACCCTGAGAAACACCCCAGTAAAATTGTACAGGGCCAGGCAACAACGTAACTTTAGAGACAGTGAAAGCAAATATCTAGAAATTTTATTTGAATTACAGGTGACGCAAAACTTACTAGTGTGAATATGAAATATGGAAAAAAAAAAGGAAATTAGTTTTGTTTGTTCTCCAAAGCAAAACTAAAGAGTGAGGATATCCTGTTTCCTATGCAGATCATATACTGTATCTTGTGAATTTGTTCTTTTGAAAAAAATATATATGTACAGCCTTCTTTTGAAGATAATAGAGCCCCTACCCCAATATTCTTTCCATTGCAAAAACATGAGGTACGCAGACCAATGCCAGGATAGGGGACCAGTCCAAGATAAGAAAATAGAATGGATTTTCTGGCTTGTGAATTTTCAGATGTGTTCAGAATTCAGGGTGCACAGTGGTAGCAACAGCAGAAACCTCAGAGAATCCTGGGACACTAGAGGTTGAGCAGCAAGCTGCTAAGTGATTGAAAAGAGTGGCTGGTAAGGCCATTGTGCACTGCCTACCCACCATGATTTTACCCATGCAGCTTACGTGGCTCATGCATTGCCTTAGGATCTATAGTCCTTTTTGCTGTAGGGCTTGTTGCGCAATATGTTATCAATCTCATTCACCACATGTGATGTCATCTTAGGGAGGACCTGAGGGTAGAGGAGAAGCACAAAGATGGTGTTAGGGTTGAGCACTGGTCTTACATAGTCAACATTAAGCAGTCATTTACACTTGTGATATGTTTGCAACCCATAGCTGAAATGAAGGTCCTCCACCCCCCATTCTCCACAATGGACAAGCTTCAGGTCAGGGATTGTGTTTGCTGACTGAAGAAATGAAGACATAAGTAAAGTCTCAGGCACACAGAGTAGCTTTATCCAGTGGAAATTCAGTGTAAGCGATCTATGTTTTAATTTTTCTAGCAGGTAATTATGCTAGCCATCTTTAAAATAGTATAAGTACATTTTTATTACATTGCATCCAGCTACCACATTTTTACTTAGTATCTATCACTTTAATGTGAAAAATTAGTATAGAAAATTAAGGTACTTTTGAGGGTAGTGCTATGAATATACACTTATGTACACACACACACACACACACACACACACACACACACACACACACACACACACACAACCTGCATTTGGACAGGCCATCATTCATGTATTTAAATAGTCTCATGTGGCTGGAAGCTGCAGCGGTGGGTAGCACTGATCTAGAGACTGGGAATGGACTTTCCAGCTGCTCCTTAGAACTGGTAAAGGATGTTTGCAGCTTAGTAGGCCTCCCAGATAGACATAACAACACATACATGAACAGTGGGATAGAGTAATACCTAAGGTAGTGGTTCTCCCCTTCCTAGTGCTGCATCTCTTTGCTATAGTTCCTCGTGTTGTGGTGACCCTCAACCATAACATTTTCTTTACTACTTCGTAACTGTAATTTTGCTGTTATGAATCATGTAAATGTCTGATATATGGGACATCTGGTATGCGACCCCTTTGGGGGTTGTGACCCACAGGTTGAGAACTGCTGCTCTAAGGACTTGATTTTCCCCCATCAGATACCAGGGGAAAGTTGGAGGATGAGTTGGAGGAGTCTGAAAGGTATCAGATAGTCAGAGTCAGTCTGAGAGTCAGTAAGGGACTTAAGAAGGCTAGCGATAGTGGAATGGGAAAGGGGAGTCGAGGGGTAAGGATCGGTGAGGTAGGAAGTGTTGTCTGCATGCGGAGCTTTGTGTAGCGCTGACTTGCATTGAGGCCGCTGCTCATTCAGGGCTAGCGTTATACCGTGAGACAAGGGACAAAGACCTGCCTTCTCTCTGGAATAGTCTGACCCTGTGTAGAGACTGGTGAGATGCAATTAAGATGACCAGTTCTGAGGTTTGGGCCTCACCCTTTGCTGCAGCCCTGCTGGCCGAGGTGACCCTGTCTCTACTCCAGGGCTGTCCTTAGCAGCCTGTGGGTTTGGTGCAATAGTGCAGCTCTTGTGTCTGGGAAACTTGTGGTTCTGGTTATTGTTTTTTGTTTTTTGTTTTTTTTTCCTACCTGAAGTCAAAGGAGGAGTTTTGTTTCCCACTAGCTCTGGAGTCTCAGGTTCTAAATAGCTAAAATTACTTGGAGACGTACTGAGACTGGAGTTCAAAAACTGGATTTGGTGGAAGAAAAACCTTGTGGGCTAGCCATGTGGAATGAAAAAACATCACTGTCAAAATACATATCAGCTAGAAACAGAACATAAAAGAACTTGAATAAAATGTGAAATTCCAATGTGTGTAGTGTTAAAGGACCAGTGTCTTTTAAAGGAGCCATACTTTCAGAATTTTATGTGAAATCACTTTTAAAAACACAGCAAAATTTTAAGCTGTTGTGCAGATTGTTCCAGTTGTACAACCTTATATTGCGTACAGGACTTGGTAGTATAAGAAGAGGTTTGACTAGGGATGTTTTTCTGGGACTGGGGGCCATCATGGAGGGCCTCCTGGACTCAGTGCTTTGAGAAAGTTGGAGGTTTTCTGCAAGTTGGGTGGTGGTTACTTTGGAGGTCAAGCATGGACCACTGCTAATTTTGGGCGAGGGTTATCCTAAAGTGTTCCTTCTAGTGGCTGGAGATAGAATCCTTGGGGGGCGGAGAGGGGAGTGAGGAGGGAGACAGAGACAGAGCGTGTGCACACAAGAATGTGTACACACCTGTGTCATAGGCATATTTCATTACTCATACTTATATGGACCTCGAGACTTTTCCTTTCTTTATGGTAGCCAGCATTCCACATTTTCTGGAAATCTGCAGTCAGTTCCAACAGTGTTTAGCTTCTCTAGATACCTAATGTACTTTTCACTACGTCCAGGGTGTCTGTCAATCATGTCTAGACATTATATGCTGGTGCTTGGGGGGAGGAGAAGGGAAGTTTGGTAAGCCTTTGTGCCAGCCATGAGGCTGTCTGGGTAACAGCCTTTGCCTTTTGAGAATAGAAATCCCATCCTGCTGCCAGCCAGAGCCTTGCTAGGGAGGGAATGCTTTGGGAGTTAGAGTATCCTTTCCTCACTGCGCAGTAGGCTCCTGCAACTCTAACAGCTTAGATCTAGGGTGCTGCTTCATTCCTGCCCCTGGCGTGACTTCCCTGGGATTGAGGATCATAATGTTAGCATGATAGGAATCCTGCAGTTTCTCTTTCTGCCAAGATTTTTATCTGTTCTTCCATCCATTCCACTTCCTTTGCCTAGGTGATGACCACACCTGCATTCTGCTTTCCTTGGGACAGGCTTAGGAATCTCTGAACATTCAAATAGAAGCGTATCTGTCCCCTTAATTTTTGTAAAGTATTCCTTACCTATAAGGAAAATGATAGTCTGGCATAGCCATGTTCCCTCTCAACCTAGGTCTTTTGTACTGCTCTTTCTTGTTCCTAAAATGTACTTCTGCCTTCATGCTATGGCAAGGTATACAAATCAAAGACTCAGAATAAACATCCTACAGGGAGGGGGCTTTTGCAAAGTTATTTTGTCAAGTAGACCCACCTCTTTCTCAGCTGCTCTGTAGTACAACAATCCATTTGCTTAATAACTCATGATCTGAACTTTTGTGCATTTTTATTAGTCTCAGTAGAATGTAAGCTTGTTAAAGACTAGACAGTATCTTGTGTCCTGTGTTGTCAGTATCTGGTACACAGTGAGCTCTCAGAGGCCAGCTTTTTTAAAGCATAGATTTCTTAATTCAGTCACTCTTAGTGCACCAGCGGTTTTAGGACAGGATCTTGCTCTTACTCTTACTCATCACAGTAACCCAACTGTCTCCCTGGTGCCAGATGAAGTAAGTATTCCATACATGAGTAGAATTGAAACTATTGTATTGAACTTCAGTTCTTCTGGGTACAAACTGTGCCCCTACCCCATCATCATTGTGTGTCCTTGTTTTCCCAGTGGATAACAGAAAATGAAAGAAGATGGTATGGTTCATTAGATGGAAGCCCACAGAATCCAGGAGGAACCATGGCCTGGTCCAGAAGGGTGGCAGCTAGGCAGGCAATCGTACCATTTATGTACCTGTGTATTCTGGTATGTCCCTCCCTCCCTCCCTCCCTCCCTCCCTCCCTCCCTCCCTGCCTCCGTCCCTCCCTCCTTCTCTCCCTCCCTCTCTTCTCCCTCCCCGTCTCTGTCTCTGTCTCTGTCTCTGTCTCTGTCTCTCTCTCCCCAGGACTTTTTCTGTGTAGCCCTGGCTCTCCTGGAACTCCCTCTGTGTACTACACTGGTCTCAAACTTACAGAGATCTACATACCTCTGCTGGGATAAAAGGCATGCACCACCATTCTGATCTGTTTCTGAAAGAGGGTTTTAAATATTCATGTGTTCACTTTCATCTGTCTGCTTTGAGGAGGGGTGACAGGTCTTGTTTTAAGAATAGATGGGTGGCCAAGACGCTGTGAGTCTGTTCCCAGTGTGTGAGAGGGAAACATCTTTGTTGGTTTCAGCAGGCTATGGCTAAGCAGTGGGTGGGCTCATCCTAGGACTCTCAGCAAAGCTGAGAGGAGCAGGTTCTGTACCAAGATGTGTTCAGTGCGGAAGAAAGAGACAGACCACTAGTCCCACCCCTTTCCTGAGATGCCCCTGATCTTCTGTTCCTCCTCCTGCTTCAGTGTATTCCCCAGGTGCTGCTGCAACCACAGTCCAGTGCCTGGCCTTCAGGCCATCACTTGGGGCAGAGGGCCTTGGTATGGAATGGGCCTCCTGGATTTTCTTTCAAGGGGATGTGATCCTGAAAGTTCCAATCAGAAATTTATTCTCCAGTTACTTCTGGAGTAATAACTAAGGGCCACATAGTAGGAAGTGGGAAGTCAGCGGAGAAGAGAGCCATAGGTCTCTGACCTTCAGGGTTACAGTACAGCAGAGGGGACAGACAGTTATCGTGCATCTTAACCTAAGTGGTATGATGAGTGGGATCACAGGATGCTGTTAGATGATCGGAAAAGGGCTGTGGCCTAGTATATTGGCAGTAGTTTATGGAAGGAACAAATGAATACTGTAGCCATTACATCTCAAGCAGACAGTTAAACATGCTTTTATGGTTAGACCTATCGGTTGCCAGTTGTGACATTGGAGTGCACTGCCTCACACAGAACGAACCATTGGACTTTGAGAAACTTGTTTCTTAAATAAGCAGACGACAGCCCTGGTCCCATGTATAAGGTAAGTGTGCTGCTGCATCTTACAGCTTTGTGTTTCCTGCTGCCTTGTCTAAGACACTGCCTGGAGACACACTGTAACATTCCCTGGAGTTTGCTAGAAGGGGTTGCAGTACTTGCCTGAATGGCACCGAGGTTTTCAATGAGTTGTTCAGGAGTGGATGATCCCAGGAGCACAGAACTCACACCCTCATTTCTCAGACACCATGCTGGAAAGAGCAAAGCTCTAGGTCAGGATTATTGATGCGCTTGTAATTAACGTTCGTGTGTGTGTGTGTGTGTGTGTGTGTGTGTGTGTAGGATAGACTTTTCTGGACTTAAAAACTGCAACAGCACCCTTCTTGGTCAGAAGTTTAATGGAATCCATACATTTGAATAGTAGGTTTGTGGCTTTCTGGCTTTCTTGTATTTTGCTCCAACTACCAGAGTTCAATATAGTAATATATTGTTCATGAAAATACCCAACATTGCTCACCAACTAATAATGTCTGGAGTCTTGTTTCTGCCAGACTCCCTTTCTGTCTTATACCTGGTATCCCTTTTCCTCATCTGTCAACCCTTTGCATTGATTACCTCAGTTGCTTTTTTACTAACTCAGAGCAGTTCTTCCTCTGCTTTAGCAAATCCCATCAAAACTGAACCTGTGTTTTCTATTTGGGGCTAGTGGAGTAAACCAGAGAGAACCATAGAATCTCATAGACTGGCACCTCTCAGGTCCCCTCTCCTTTGCTATCTTGCCATTGGGCCTTAGCCAGTCTGACAAACCTTTCTTTGATCCTTGATCATCCATTCCTCAAATGACATAAGATCTATCCTCCTTTGGTGCTGTTTGCTTTTTTTTTGTTTTTGTTTTTGAGGCTGGGTTTCATGGAGCCAGGCTGATTTCCAACTTGCTATATAGCCCAAGGTTTTCCTTCCGTTACCTCACAAATCCTGGAATTAAAGGCATGAACAACCATGTTGGCAGGATCTCTACCCGAAAGCCTTGTATTCACTCTCGGTAAGTGACCTTCCTTGAACTTTATCTAAAATATTAAATGTGATGTAAATATTAAATATTAAATTAAACCAATGTGATGGTTTGTATATGCTCTGCCTAGGGAGTGGCACTATTAGAAGGTGTGGCCCTGGTGGAGTAGTTGTGGCCTTGTTGGAGTAGGTGTGTCACAGTGGGCATGGGCCTTAAGACCATCATCCTAGCTGCCTGGAAGCCAGTATTCTGCTAGCAGCCTTCAGATGAAGATGTAGAACTCTCAGCTCCTCCTGTACCATGCCTGCCTGGATGAAGCCATTCTCTCACCATGATGATAATGGACTGAACCTTTGAACCTGTATGCCAGCCCCAGTTTAAATGTTGTACTTGTTAGCGTTGCCTTGGTCATGGTGTCTGTTCACAGCAGTAAAACCCTAGCTAAGACAACCAGGTAGAATATTCTTCATTTTTCTACCTACATAGTACCCACAATGCAACTGTCCAATTGCAGACAATGCATGCTGTTTTGGCCTAAGGGCAAACTGCCCTGGATCCATCTCCCTTTTTTTGGATCAATTAAAACATTTATTTCTCTGTTCCCTGAAGGTTTTGTTTCTTGTTTTCCTTTGTCAGTAAAGAATGCTCAATTCTTTTCCACTGTAAAATAGCCTCTGACTCCATACTTGCCTAGATACTTCTCTAAGTTTGGAAGTTCTGAAAGGTCACTTTAGGCTCCTGTACTCCCCTTCATCATCATAGTCTAGTCCTCTTCTTACCCTGTTTTGGAAACCAAGGCCCCAGGGACCTCCTGGTTACAATGACCATCTGAGCATGGACCTGCATGTTTCTGCTGGACCTTCCTGCCTTGCTTTGCCAGTCCCGTTTGACTCAGTATCAGCCCCTTTGCCTCCCTACTAGAATTCTGGGATCTTTAGGAATTGTCCCTTTTTTTCTGAGTCTACCTTCCCTTTTAAATTCCAGGTCTAGTTGGTTATTCCTCCTGTTTCTCTAATCCATTGGTTCTTACACTTTAGCATATAACAGAGAGTTATCTGGAGGGCTTTTGTAGCATTCTTTCTAGGCCTCAAGATTTTTTACTTAGAAGATCTTGCCTTGAGATAGGGGCTTCTGCATATTTATTTGATAACTTTTTTTTTTTTTCAAGCTGGCTTGAACATTTTATGTAGCTCAAGGATGACCTTAACGTTCTGACTGCCTCTGCCTCCTGAGCCCTGGGATTAGAGGCATGTGCTACCATCCCAGGCTTATGAGATATTGAGGTAAGCATTTTACATTTCCAGCCTGGGAATTTAAACTATCTTTTTAACAGGAGGGGGAGGAAAAAGCTTTATTGCAGTAGAAATTACATATCAAAAAGACGTAAACCTGCTTTTGAGTATACATTAACTACCTTAAAAAAAATTTAGCAGCCCTAGCAATTTTAGTGTGCAATCGTTACCGTTTTAAATCGAGTTAGTGGAACATTCCCATCCTTGATAAAATACTTTATGACAGGCAGTAATTGATACCATACTTCAGCCCTAGTTAATCGGTATTTGTTTTTAGATTTGTCTTTCTGAAGATTTCATTTAAATAGAATAAAGCGTCATCTTTTGCATTTGATTTCTTTCACATGTTTTCTAGTTTCTTCTGTGGTGTAACAGTATCATTTCATTGCTTCGTAGTATTTGACGGTGTAGACACCTCGAGGGTCACTGCTCTGGCTCATCTCTCCCATGCTGCCACTGTTCACATCCAATCCTCAGGAGCTCTGTGGACTCACTGCTTTTCCTACTCTTTGCTTCAGTTGCCCCTCCCTTAATACAGATGCCCTGCTCCTAGCTGCAGCTTCTAAGATTCATAATGCCTCGTTCCTGACGTCAGCATGTGCCTAACAAGATCCCCTTCCTATAAGATGACATGCATTTCTTACTCTGGTAAATCTTATTTTTGATTCTGCCTCTGCCTTAATTTTTGTGCTTCAAGAAAACTGGCTTGTTGACCTCTCTATCCCAAAACATCAGACTAGCTTTCCTTTGCTGGGAGTCCTTTGCCTGGAAGGTATTTTTTGCCCTCCCTTTTTCTTTGCCTTGTTAACATCTCATCTTTTGAGGTTCCCAACTGTCTTTTGCCTTTTTCCTAAAGTCTCTCCTGAATTCTAGACCAGCCAGTGTGCCCTATACATTATAACCTGGAGTCAAATCTGTTAATTTTCTTGATGTGCCCATTAGGCTGTGGGATGTGGCTATCTTGAGTTGAACACTGCTCAGCAGCCTACGCCATGGGACACACTGATCAAATGTTTGCAGGGGAAACAGGTCTGGATGATTTTTTCCTGTATATCTGCCTCCTTTACTCAAGGCCCTGCTGTGTGTCCGCTGATCCTCTAAGCTGTTACCAGGGCTCTGAGGCAATCACTGAATCCTTCCAGGTGGACACCCACTCTTCTCCCTTAGCTTTATTGCAGTCTACTTTGCACTTAAAACCCAGTGGGAGTTCCAGGTCAAAGCCAGGCTCTAAGCAGTTGCTGCAGAAACAATGGATTCCTCCAAGAGCTACGGGGCTAAGAGAACCCACTCTGCAGAGCTGGCCGATCCATGGATAGCACCAGCTTGCAGCTGATTCTTTACAATCAGCCTATCTAACTGGGTATCTGTCACTAGCAAGCACATCCATAGTGCCTATTAGGGCCAGTGAGGTGAGTGCTGGCTCCCGGGCAGGTGTATGACTGGGGAACAGTGCGCAGACTCCAGTAGTCCCTCTCATGCTGGAAGCTTCTCTTTTCTAAGTCACACTCTGCCCTTGGAGAGCAAAGGCAATGAGGCTCGGAATCATTCCTTTTTGGGTCTAAGAATTCTGTGGATAAAAATTAACTTATTTGTAAAGAAAGAAGAAAAAATGACAGGAAAGAAAACCATCTAGAGCATAGTTCTCAGCCTTGCTAATGCTGTGACCCTTTAGTACAGTTCCTCATGTGGTGACCCAACCATACAATTATTTTTGTTGCTATTTCATAACTGTAACTTTGCTACTGTTATGAGTTGTAATGTAAATAAATATTTGAGATGCAGGATATCTGATATGTGACCTCTGTGAAAGGATCATTTGGTCCCAAAGGGATCATGACCCCCAGGTTGAGAACTGGTGACCTAGGGCATAGTTTAGAAATGAAGGGGGGAAAAACCAGCATGTATCAGTTTAAACCTAAGCTCTGTGCAGAGAATGTGTTATGAATATCCAACATCCAGTGAAAGTCTAAATTTTTAAAAGGTTTCCTCTCCAGGAAGCTAATGTTCTTCCATTTCTTGTAGAGTTTAATATAATCTTCTTGATATTCGTGGAGGATCAGTTCTATCTTCCCCATCCACCCCCATGCAGGGGCACTCAACTCTGTTTTATAAAAATGTCTCAGCATTTGCAAACACATTTCTCCTATATTCTTTAAGTCATCTCTCTATTACTTATGGTGCCCAATGCAATGTAGATTGTTGGTTGACTTTATGGACACGGAAAGCTGAGTGTTTTCAATTCTTGTTATTACCTGCACGTGTTACTTATAGTAGTAGAATCTACTTTCCTTGTGTGTTAAGAAAACCTCAAGCCCAGTATGCCTAGTTCTACTCAGTATATCCTTTGTCAGCACTGTCCTTATCACTCACTGAACTTACCTACACTGAGACTTTACATATGCAGTTTTGCTTTAGTTCAAGCTTATAAGGTATAGATTATGTCCATTACACACAAGAAAATCAGGCCAGGTAACTTGTCTTTGCTGTTCTTGATGAAGATGCAGCTACTGCATTAAACATGCTCTTTAATTCTTCTGAAGGAAGGATTGAGGTGTGCCCCTAAAGTTCCCTAGGCATATGATGAGCCCCCTCTTCCTTATTCACTTACTCAGTGTGAGGGTGTTCACATGAACATGCAGCAGCCAGAGAGTAGATTTAGCAGACCGTTCTACTCTGCGGCTTCTGGACATCAACCAGGTCATTAGCCTTGGTACTAAGTGGCTCTACCCAATGAGCCATCTCTCTAACCTTCATTTCCGGTTTTCTAGTACCGTTTACTGTAATTTTTTAATTTCTAACTTTAGCAGAGCCAAGCTATCAACAAATATTCTATTACAATTCGCACAGACCTTACCACTGGCTGTTAATCTTTCTGGGCCAATGTGTCTGTGGCTTTTTTTGCTGTGGTTTGCTATTATTTGCTGCTGTTTCTTATTAGGGTCTCTTGCTGCCCCTTCCTGGAATTAACACCTATTTTATTCTTTTTCCAATTGCCATGCTAATTCTAGTAAATCATTTAGTGACATTTGTAAGACAAGGTTTCTCATAGCGTGTACCTCACAGGATTGTTCAAAGTCTAAGAGTCAAAGAAGGTAACATAATGAATGTGAAGTGTATATGACACAGCGTGGCACCCCGATTGCCTGCAAGTTTAAATGTTTCTGTGTACAGTGTGGGGTCATTAATCATGAATGATGGATACTGAGCTCATGTTCAGGCTGAAGGTGCTTTAGAAGTAATATACATGGCTGTTCTTTGAAAACAGGCTGAAAAGAATATTTAAAGACCCTAAGTCATTTTTTATATTACATGTTGAAATGATAATTTGGGTAGATTGTGTTAAATAAAATGGATTATTAAAATGAATTTTACTTCTATGTTTTATTTTAAAGCTTTTTAAAAGTGTTTGTTTATGTGCATATGTGTGTACATTTGTATGAATGTATGCCATATGTCTTCAGGTACCTGTGGAGGCCAGAAAAGGGTGCTGGGTCCCCTGAAATTGAAGTTGCAGAAGGTTTTGAGCCATTGGACATGAGTGTTGAGAATCAAACTCTGGTCCTCTGGAAGAGCAGTGAACACTTTTAACCACTGAGCCTTCTCTCCAGCTCTTGTTTTTCTTTCTTAATATGGCCATTGGCAAATTTGAAAAGAAATCAGTAGTTCCCATTATGTTCTAATGGACAGTGCCAGTGTATTTGTTTTTTGGGTGGCTGTGACCTTTCACGGACTGCACAGTATGAAAAGAACAATTTTCATGGCTGTTGAAAAAGTTCCAGGGGGAGCTGCCCTTGTAGTATCATCTTTCAGTGTGGCAGGAGCCAAGGGCCTCTTTGTAGCCCTATTTCTCAATCTCTCACCAAGCCTGTCTCCCCCAATGTCAACAGGGGGAGGAACCTGAGCCAGAAAAAATGAGTGTCATTGTGTAGTGACACAGTTTACCTCAGACACTGGAGTATGTGTGTATTTTTAATTTATTTTTTATTATTTTTTTATGCAATATATGTTTATCATTTCCCCCTCCCACAAGTCCTCCCCTCCCACAAGTCCTCCCAAATCCTCCCTAGCTTCTACCCACCCAACTTTGTACTCTCTCTCTCTCTCTCTCTCTCTCTCTCTCTCTCTCTCTCTCTTGCCTTTCACTGATATATTTTCATGCAACTGTCTTATACGGCAGAAAGGAAAGAATATTGAAAATTCTGTGAAACCCTGAATAATTCACTTTCTCTGTTGTGTGTACCAGAATTTGATGCTTCTGAGGTTAGCCTGTCCCTATGGTAGACATTTTATCATGACAGGGTGTGGATCAACCATAGAAAAGTACTTTTTTTTAGTTACATCAGCAAAAGTAACTCCCTAATCCAGAGCCCAGTCTGCCATCCCCTCGTAGTTTCTTACCCACAGCCAGCTGAGGTAGTGTGCATCCCAGGCGTTCAGCAATTGGAGAGAGGTCTTTCAGCTTGTTTTGCTGTTTTCTCCCTTCTTCACTTACAATTCTTTCCTTTAACCACTGGTAGCACTGGAAATAATGATAACACATAAGTCTTATATGAATGTGATGTTAAGTCAATAAAATATAAGAACCTCAGGTGAGGCTGGAGAGATGGCTCTCTTCAGTTAAGACTGTTCACTGTTCTTTCAGTGGGCCTGAGTTTGATTTCCAGCACCAACATCAGGCAGTTCACAACCACCTGTAACTCTAGCTCCAGGAGGTCTGATGCCCTCTTCTGGCCTCCAAGGGCACCTGCTCTCATGTGGCACACACGTACGCATTCGTGAATAAGCACACATGCACATAGATACCACATATATGCACATAGGCTCAGCTTTCCGTTCAGAGAGCTGGCTGCCAAGTTTTCTGCCCCCTGAAAATCATAGTTTTGCATTATTATTGTAACTGTCCTCCCTTTTGCCTTGTTCCTCCCCAAATCTCATTGTTACGTTAAAATATTTTACATGTGTGTATGTGCACACGTGTAGATGGCCTTGGAGAGCATAAGAGGATGTTAGATCTTTAAGAGCTGGAGTTACAGGCAGTTGCGAGCCGCCCACTATGGGTTCCGGGAACTGAATAGAGGTTCTGCCAGAGTAGCAAGTGTCCTTCATCACTGAGCCATCTCTCTAGCTCCCTAATGTAATGATACGATAATTATAATAATTACAATGATAATATTATTATGAGGACTTTGTGTTGACTTCCTCTTGTGTTTTTTTTTTTTTAATGCCACAAATTAGAATCAATAGAGTATTTGTTTAAAGGACAACCCAGGAAACTACTCTTTAAACACAGGAAAGCACGACCTGTAGCCTAGTAAGTGAGTTTACTTCCATCAGTATGAAAAGCCAGTCAGGGTTTTCTGCTGCCCTTCTTTGCAGAAGGCTCTGCTCTTACAGGAGATGGGAATTACATCTCTGGTGTACAAAGCTAGCCCTGACCAGCAACAGCCACAGGGAGGCACTTCTTTTCCATGAACCTTCCCAGAGGGAGCAGGAAGCTTCCTAGCTGGCAGTTGGCCATAGGACCTCCTCCCACATGATTTCAGTAGGCTGGTGGCTTTTGTTTTATTAAGTATTTTTTTTCATCACCAAAGAAAAGCATAACCACATTATGTTTTATTGTGATTTTTGGAATAATTTTACAGATGTGAAAAGTAGAAGGGCAAGCTGCCCCAGTTCTGTCTGCTCCTAGATGTCAAAGGATTATGGTCTGGCTCCTCACTTGGGACTTTGCTTGGGGAAATGGGCAAGGCATTCCCAGCTTCAGCCTTGAGAAGTCTCTGATTCTTCCAGAGGAAAGGTGCCTGAAGTGACATCTCCAGAGATGACAGCTGGTGCCAATGGTGATGGAGAGGCTGTCTGTGAACTACAAGCACATGATCAGGGCCCCGGCAGCCTTCTTGAACCTGGGCCCTGAGTATGCCAGACATCCCTGAAGAGCAACAGATGTCTTAAAAGTGGGAAAAATATCATCAACCCTTACTTAAATTTCATGATCTTTCAGGGAAGCAGTATCTCTGAATATGACTTAAACACAAAATGAGAAAGTAGTAGACAAATGCTTTTCAACACTTTTAAAAAGTAGAGTTCATGAAATTTCAGTATATATCAGGCACATTAAGAATGTTTGATTTGTTTACTCTATTTTTGAAATATTATATGTAACATATTCTTTTTCCTTAAGATTAGAATACACTCCGCGCTCGTGTGTGTGTGTGTGTGTGTGTGTGTGTGATGCACTTACGTCAACCATATTGAAAGACTTGTAAAATTAAGGAGGATTGGCCTGGAGAGATGGCTCAGTACATACACTGCTTGCCTCACAAGACAGAAGACTGGAGTTTGGATCCCAGCAACATTTAAAACTGAGGATGATAGTGTGTGTGTATGTGTGTGTGTGTGTGTGTGTGTGTGTGTGTGTGTGTGTAACTGCAGCATTTCTGCAGTGAAAGGGTAGCAGAGACAGGTGCACTCCGGAAGCCTGTGGGTCATCCAGCCTGATGTGTGTAGCAGTAGGCAACAAAAAAGAGACCCTTTCTTACACTGTGGAAGTGAACAGTGACACGGAAGTTGTCGTGTGACCACTACATACCCAGTGTATATGTGTCCCCATACAGACATACATAAACATTTACTTATTGAATCCCTCACTTCTGAGTCTCAATGTTGTAAAGTTCACTGTTGACTTAATCAGTGGAATGTATAGGGAGTTAGAGTTTTAAGAAAGTGTTTACACTGCTTTCCTAATACCAAAAGAAACAAAGGTTGGTTTTGTTTTTAAAGAAACAGCTTTAATTTCTGTTCAAATTGGACAATGCTCACAGTGGGAAGAGATGAAGTATAACTAAAATATTAATTAAATATCAAAGTGACCCTGTGTTTTTAGGAAGTTGGTGGCAAATATGGTTGCCCCTCTGGATGGCACAGCGCTGTGGGTCCTGTTGCTCCATAGAGTATCCCTTCACGTGAGTGTCTCTGTGGAAGTGTCTGAGATACTTGAACATCAGGGTTATCTCCCTTGGTCCATGTATCCACAGCAGCCAGCAGAGAGTCCAGTACTGAGTAGACAGTAATATTTCCCAAGGTACTAATTGCTAAGATTTGTTTGATCTTATGTTTAGGATTATTATAATCATTCATTCATTCATTCATTCATTCATTCATCATTTATTGAATCATGTGCGTGGGTTAGAGAGTGTTAGTTTCTGTTTTAGAATCATCTATAAGTCATTATCTAGGAACTTAAGTGTTTGGTAACCGAGTGACCTTTCTGCTTCAATGATTTTGTCATAAGCCATGTTTGTAGCACCTTCTTTTATATCTAACAAAGTCATATATGGCTGAGCTGACCAACGTTTTCTCTTTTGGCTACTGTTGTTGGTCTCTCAGGTTGAACATTGCCAAGGTCATTCTTTTCTAGTCTGAAGCTGGCAAAGAAAAGATCTCCTCTAGGATATATTCTCTTAAGGATGTAGGCTTGTGGCTATCTGTTTTCTTGCTCTAGCTTCATTGTCAAAATCCATGTAATGGAAGAAATTGGCATATTCATATGAGAGATAAGCAGAGAAGACTAATAATGTCTAGTCCATAGACAGGTCTACTGAGCCCAGCCCCACATTCTCTTCAAGGATTGTCTTTTTGACAATAGAGCTCTTAGAATGAGATTGTTCACACTGAGGTCTGTCACTGGCAACCAGAGAACTTGAAGCCTGTGTAAGAAGTGTTGATGGAGTAAATAGAGAGAAACACATACAACTCAGTAACTGTATTAAGCTAGAAGCTTTGTTCCTAAGGCTAAGATGGAAGGACCACAGGAGGATGAAAACACTCTGGGAAGCTAAGGAAAGTATGCAGCGCATTGGGGTAGAAAATAACATGGGGTCGTAGAGATAAGAACAGAAAAGTAGACTTGGCTTAGATTCCAAGAGGATTTGGGATTTATCCTGTATGCAGTAACTGAGAAGTCATGATGGCATTTTAAAATGGGTTATGATACAGTCCTTTAAAAGGACAACCAACCGCAAGGGTGGATTGTTGAGAAGAAGGAGCAAATGGAAGCATCCAAATTCAATCCTGCAGTAAACCTGGGAAGGAAAGAGGAAGACCTACTTTAGGGCTGTGCATGGGTGGACCTGAGTGACAGGATGCCGTCTGGAGGATTTGGACGGAGCCTTGCTAGGCGGGGTGAGGATGCAGAGGATGAAATCTGAGGTAGCAATATGACTTCTCGATCGCTAGGTCTTGGGCAGAGGAATTGCTGATAGTAAGGAGGGTTAAATTTGAGCAGAGGGTATGTGAGAGTAGATTTCATTAGGCTTGACAGATAGCCATGGGACATCTACTAGACTGGAAGCAGTGCTTTGCTTTCCAGCAGAGCAGCCAGAGCTGATAGCATTGTAAGAGGAATGGGGCCAGCCAGAAGAGGTTGCCCAGAAAATTCTCTGGCTAATCTTGCTTACTGTAAGAGCCCTGGAGAGCTCTTAAAAGCCATGAAAAGAAAAGAAAAAAAGAAAAGAAAAGAAAGGAAAGGAAAAGAGATCGACTTTTCAATTGTAGTTCAATATAGCAGACACAAAATATTAGCATTTCAGTGGTGTAATAACAGACAGTGTTATGTGAGCCATTTTTAGGCTGTATTAAAAGTTGCCAATGTACCTTTCCTCTTGTCTTTAATTTTTCTACTAGCACTATAATTTAGTACAGAGGGTGCCAAGTTGCTTCTTCTCATTTTCATTTTTATTTTTCACTTTTGTAGTTCTGCTTAAGTAGCCTTCCCCAGAGCAGACATGTTGCTCTGGAAACACTTGGTTGATAGATAGTGTAGGGCCTAGAGAATTTGTGGCCATCTGTAGCCTTTCGCTTGGACAGGTTCTAAATGGTTGCTGTTAATGTTCCAGTAGCACTCAGTTTGATTGACTCCATGAAAGCCAATCAAACATTTACCCAGTTACTTTTGAGCTTAGCCACAGTCAAACATTTTGAATGTTCTCCCTACCCACTTTCTGCTCTTGTTAGTACATTTGTGGAGGTTTTCCATCTGTGTGTGAGCTTTTTATCAAATAGTGATAGAGACATACCAACCAGATACAGCCTGGCTACATCTTTCCTTTAAGGACCTGAATGTGAAAGGAAACAGATGTCTTCAGGGAAAGATAATTCACTGACATCAGGAGGCCTGGGTTCTCACGTCAGCTTTATCTGTTGGAGTTTATAGTCTTAATGTTGCTTAATGTCCTTGGGCTTCAATTTCTGTATCCGGCAGAAGCCTGCCTCTTACAGGATTACTCTGAGAACAAATAGCCCACATATGTGAAGTGCTTTGAATTTTTTGGAAAGCCCATGAAAGAATATACAGATGGTCTTCTAGCTTATAATTGTTTGACTTAGGATTTTCTTACTGATATGCAAGAAGTGTATCAATACAAACTCTGTTTTTCATTTTCAGTGCACTATTCAACAGATTACATGAGATAGTCATCTCTTTAGTATAAAAAGAATTTGTTTTAGATGATTTGGCTGTCTTTTTATTTTTGTTTTTTCTTTCAAGGTATGGTTAGGCTAAACTATGATATTCAGGAGGTTAGCCATATTAAATACATTTTTGAAAGGGCTTTTTGAGTTTATAATGTGTTTATCTGGGCATTACCCCATCATAAGGAGAAGTGTGTCTACATAGCAATGTAGCTTAGCCTCAACTGATTGCAAGCCATCTGTGTCCATTTCTCATAGCTCACTGCTTGCCACATGGTGGATGCCAAGTAAAGACACAACTCTCAGTCTTTCCTTTTTCTTCATGCCCCTTTTGCCTTCCTCTTTGTCACTGCCCTGCCTAAGATGCCTTTTTCTTCATGGACTTGTTGAGAGTCTGTTCTGAACGACCTTCAGTTTTCAGGAACAAGATCTCATTAAATATTCTGAGATAACTGTGCTTTGGGATAATTAAAAAATGAGAACACTGTCATGTCAGCATGCTTTGGGGGCTATTTATATCTTGTGATTTTAGAGAACAAACAAGCTAAAAGCTCAACTCTTATAGACAGAAAGGATAGTAAAATCCAGGAGCCTTGAGAAGGTTCTAGCTAGTGAGTGTTGGTGGTCAGCTGTCTCATCCCGTCATTGCTGTGTCCTGTGTCTCCCTCACCCCCTCCAGCTACACTGGGAAATGTCTGGGCTTGGCTTGGGTTGTTCTGCTGGGTCAGTGCTAATGGAGGCTGGAGCCTGGGTCTGGCATATGCTTTCTCTTAAGATGACTTTGGTTGTCTGAATTTTTAAGATTCCTGTATTTGTTCTCCCTAGATACTACAGAGAAATTTGTGATTCTAATGTTGTTAAACATTCTCTCAAGCTTTTAAAGCACAGGCATCTTGTGGTTAATAATGAAAGATGTTTGTAGTGCTCCCCAATGAGTTAACCATCAGCAAGGGAGTCTAAGATGGGACTGGACATTGAGGAGTGAACGTATTCCAAGTATATGATACAACTGAACAAAAATGCCATTAAGAAACCCATCATGTGTACAATACATGAGTAAAAAAAATAATAAGACCCACTGGGCAGAGTGGAGGGTTGTGATGGCATGCTCTGTATCTGTCTCCTGAGGCTCTCCCTTTCCCCACTCCCAACCCCCTCTGCCTCCATTCCCAAAGGCGTGTAAGCCAATTGCAAGTCATACCTAGCTGTAGCTGTTTACCTCAAATGGATTAAGCCCTTATGGCTTAAGTATTGTTTTCTAAAGAACAGGAAAATTAAATCCTCTTATATAGAAGAGGAATTTTAAATTCTGTCACTTCTAGACAAGGAACAAAATATCCCCTTTAACAGAAGAATAAGTAAGAATGTAAGAATGTAGGGATTTGCATCTGCAAGTCAACTAGGTCATTGGACACGTTCTTCCAGTCCCCAGAGACAGATTCTCTGTGCAGGCAGATTATGAAGGGCTGACTGATGCCTGGCCAGCAACAGAGACCTGGGCAGCCCTGCCAAGGTCATGGCTAGCCAAGGCCACAGTGTGCTCAAGCTGGGAAGCCCTGGGCTGCTGCTCTGCACCTTCTAATTCATCTTCTTCCTCCCCACCACATTCTTTTCTAGAAGTTGAGAAAAATACCTTCAGTGAAGCTCTAGAACTTTCTGGCACCCCATTTCCATATTTTCCTGAAATAATTCCACAAGCAAGTGGAGACCATGTCATTGCACCGACCCCTGTAGGAAAAAACAAAACAAAACAAAGCAAAACAAAACAAAACAAAACAAAACAAAAAACAAAAAATATACAATCAGAACTTTGTTTATGCCAAGTAGGACCAAAAGTGAGGGCATGTTTAAACAGCTCCATCAGTCCTAGAGGGAAACTGGCCAGATAAATGAGTTAATACAGCATCCATCTTTCCATTACAGCTTAGGACTTACAAATTGTGCCTCATTCTTTTAGAAACCAATTAAACATGTACTGTCTGTTCCTGGGAGGTAGCCATATAAGTAAACTTGGAAATATGGCTTCTTCATGATCTTTTCATGGCCACAGTTCATAGACCAAGAGATAAGAGCTTTTGCTTGCAAAGAAAGCTTTATCCACTTATCCACTCTGTGCCTGACAGTACCTGGCACTTGGCAGAAACAGAACCTACCACACAGCAAATGCCTGGTACATGATCGAAACAGCAGCAGCTGTTGTTAAATTTGGATTGTTTTTTAATCCAGCATTTCCCTATTTTTAGGAGAAGAAAAAAAGTAATCTCTGAAAACTGCCTAGGTGTGTAACACTGAAAAAAAAATGTGGCTTATTGATGTTTCTAATATCCAAAGTTCTTGTGTTTATATATCCCTGCCCCCAGGCACTACTTTCACACAAACAAATTATACCTGACTTGCTGTTGTTGAATTTGTTCTGTCTTACCCAGCCTCAGGCACAGCACAAGAGACAGATGTGGATATCTATATGCTTGGGAATACTTACTCAGTCTATTCATGGATACGTGATTAGGCTAGAACAAGCACCTCTGCAAACCGAGTTTATCCACTGGTTGTGTGTACCTCTGCAAATCAAGTTTATCAACCTGATCCTTTTTGTTTGAGCATTTTTGAATACCTGCTGAGTGTATATATTAAAGTCAATTTACAACTCTGACTGTCAGCCCAGTACCTTGTAGACTATGAACCCACCTGATGCTGCCACCATCTCTGAGGTGCATCATTCTTGTCATCTCTGTATTGTATTAATTGGAGACATTTGGGAAAGCATTTTCCTAGCACCCCATCCCCCCAACCATTGATTCTCATATTGTAAAGAATGATCAGATGTGATTGTGAAGATTACCTATTTTATGGTAGAGCTCTGGCAGCTGAACCTCCACCTTCTCTCTCTGGAAAAGATGGTACTCAGCTTGTTCACAGACAGGTGGGATCATGTTGAACTGCCTCGCGACAGAGTAGGCTTCCTGGGGGCAGAGGAAAGTGCAGCTAAGTTTATTCTGATGAGCATTGGAGCTTTACCATGATCCATTTTCATCGGGGACCTTCATTTCAGTTTCAGTGGATTAAATAAGCAAGGAGATAAGCCAAATACATGCAAAGTTATAGCCATAAATATCACCAAGAGAGGTACCAAATGTGGGGAATCCTTGTTATGTGGGAAGGTTAGACTGAGTAAAGTCTGGGACAAATTAGTGGAAGCTTGAATTATGGACTGTTCTAAAGGAGATGTTGTTTGAATATGCTTAAGTTCTTAAAGAGAAAACTCAGACTAAAAATTCAGACAAAAGTGGTCTTTAAGTGGCATGGTTTAAGCAGAATTGTAAGAAAGGTAGAATATTCATGTATCTCATTAGCTTGGAAATTCTCTCTGTCCTGTTTCCAGCAAGAGGCATGCTAAGACATGGGTCCTATTTGCAGATCTGGCCCTTGTGTTTGTCCTAAACTGCTGGGCTCGAGCCCTCACATCCATCTCCTTAATGAGAGAACTGATGGTAGATTTCCAATGGCCTGGTCTCGTGAGAAAAGTCTGCAGAAGATGCTGCAACTTAAACATGGTATCTAAACAATACTGACAAAGCACCCAGCAGCCATTAAAAGCAAACTAACTCACCATGATCTCCATTGCGCTCCATCTCGAGGTGCCCCAGTACATGGCCATGCCTTGGTTGATCACGTGCGTCATGGCTCGAACGATTTCTAAGGAAGCCCAAAGAGTGTTCCATGAACTCACCTACTATACAGAGTTGTGTTTCCCCTTCCTCTTCCCAGAATTTAGAAATTTAATGTGATGATTTGATGACTATAATTACTCTCTCCCTGGTGACAATTTGAAAGCTTGGTGGTATTCTTAGGTAAACTGACACTCATTTTCACTTTTCAGCAATATTAAACAGTATTAAAAATGTAATGACCATTGCAGGTTCTTCCATTACTAGTATTGGTTAATGGTTCTTGTTCTGATAAATGAAGCTGAATATCTGGTACAAAGTGAAACGAGAGGAAAGGCATTTGTTGTGACTTAGAATGCAGGGTCACAGAGGATGAACAGCCTGTTTCTTCTGCATGGTAGATTTGCAGAGCTGTTCCTTTCCCTCAATAGCCCTTTAATAAAGATGACTCAATAACTGTGTCAAGCAGCAAGATAAACATATAAAATGCAGAACAAACAGCTGAGACCGTGGGTACTCAAAGCCCACTTTGACACACCCTGTCCTTGGCCACTTTGAACCCAATGTTGTTCTAGGACACCCGTGTAATTGATCTCACCAGGGCCTGCTGGTGGGACCACCCCGTTTACACATTCGCCTCTTTTCTGCTTAACAACACATTTCCTCTCTCCAGAGGGTGGAGCTAAGCTAATCCTCTTGGCACCAGCCAGATGAGATAGGAAACATAAAGAGTTTCAAGTTCAAGTTAGCAAAATCCTCAGATAGTTTCCACAAAGCAAGTCAACTACACTCTTAGGATGCCAGATCTCTGGACATATTTCAAAGGTCAAGGTCTTGAACTTCTTTGTGTCCCAGTAATACCCTTAGATTAAGTGTCCTTCAGAATGGAATCCTTGCTCAACATAAAATTGGGAGAGGTACATTCTTTTCTCTTTTTTCTTTTCTCTTTCCCCTGCCTCCTCTCATCTCTTTCCCTCTTCCTTTGTTCTTGTTCTTTGAGACAGAGTGTCACTGTATAGCCTTGCCTGGATTGGAATCCACCTATGTAGAACAGGCTGCCCTTGAATTTTCAGCAATCCTCTCCAGTCTCTGACTCCTGAGTGCTGTGATTACAACTGTATGCTGCTATTCCTGGCTTGGAGTAGATGTAGTCTTATTTGTATTTAAGTTGATGGGGGCAGGGTTTGGATTGAGGAAGTCAAGTTTAGGGTCTTAGCATCTTTGTTGTTTGGCATACATGTATTATTCTAAGGTTTCCTTGGTTGGTTTGTTTTGAAGATGGGGACTGTTTTTATTCACTACCATCTAACAAAGAATTTGATTTATTAGCTAAACACCTTTTCTTGTGATCATATATCTTATCATAGCACCTAACTGTAAAGCTTATTTATCCTTTGTTAAATAAATGTGTTAAAACTTGTAAGAAACCTTCCCTTCTTCTTTAAAGAGTGTACACAAGGAGATGATAAAGGTTTCTGGAAGTTGGGGCCATTTTTTTGCATCTTTGCTCTAGATTAGCCACCTGCATCATTGCAACAAGACCCTTCCTGTTCATATCCTGTTTCTCCAAGAGCTGGGAGCTCATCCAGTTACTGTGTTCCTTAGGCACCTGTTGTTCTGGGAGCTGGACATGCTGAGGTGTGCCAAACTTGTTGGTATCACTGAAGGGGTTCACAGAGAGCAAGCTGAATTGGAAGACTCGCCCATCTGTTCTCTACAGACAGGGTGAAGTTACAAAAGCCCAGACCAGAGCAGTTAAGATGGAAGTTGTGAATCTTCCAAGATTCATTCATTTACTTGTTGAACACATTTGGTATACAATTCCTAGACTTGGGGAGGTTAGGTTGGGTGGCAAGGATGGAGAAATAAAGAAGTGATTATAAAATATAAATTGTTATAGAGAAATATAAGTAAGCAGGTGCAGATAGGAAATGAAAGAGAAGATCTACCGAGTCCGGGTCGGGAATGTCTCACTTCCTGTCATGCTGTATTATGTTGAAGCATTGAAACAAGCTAACCATACAAAGCATGGGTGAATAACATTTTAGGACGATGGAACAACATGTGTAGGCCCTGCAAGCAGGACAGTGAATTCCAGTGATTGAAATGAAGTTAGATAGCAGAAGCCCAGCAAGAAAAGACCAGATTGAGATAAAGTTGCCAGAGGACAACAAACCAAACTGTATGGGCTAAAAGGTGGATGGGGTTGTTGCCATTTTTAGGCAAGGGAATGGGAGAGACATCCTGTCATCAGAGTTTGCATCTCAGAATGCCATCCCTGCCTATGCTGTGAAGAATCAGTGGAAGAGGAAGCCTCTGGGGACAATCTGTCATGTTGCAAGAGTGACCTGGAGGAGGGTTTGGGTAATTAAGACTGAGTGTGATATATAGTGGGCAGGAAGAAATCAAGGTCTTCTTCCAGATGCCTGACTGTTTACTGAGAGGAGGGCAATGGTAGAAACCCTTCTTTGGAGGTGAGGGACTGAAGGGGATGTGGAGCTGATGTGGCTGAATGCCTGAGATAATGAATGGACACTGCTGGACACTGCTGTGTGACGGGGTGCAGCTTACTGTCTGTGCTAAGTCATAGCAGTGGAAGTCTCAAGAGAAAAAGAGAGGACCCTGTACAGTCAGCTGTCTGACCAGGAGCCAGAGGGACTGACATTTTAGAGCCAAAAACAAAGGGTGCTTCAAGAAGGAGGCTCATGGGGTAGAACGAGGAACAGAGGAACAGTCACCTCAGAGGCTACAGAAGTGTCTGCTACACACACACACACACACACACACACACACACACACACACACAGTGACTTTAAAGCATGATGAGAGCCATTTTAGTGTTACTGTGAAAGACCAAGGCCAGGCTGGTGTGATGGAAGAATGGAAGACAGGCAGGTTTGGAGACAAGCTGCACAAACTCCTTCAGCAGGTTTTCAAACGAATGAAGCCTAGACAACAGTAACCCAAGGAATGCTGGGGAGAACTCGATTCAAAGACGGAGATATGAGAGATGACTGTTGGTACCACTGAGGATGACCTATAAGGAAAGTAGTCCCGACGAGACCCACTTGTGAGACTGGGAAGGGAGGAGAGAGAACACTAGGCTGAGAGGGAGGAGGTAGGCGCTTGGGGCTTGGGACACTCACCAAGGACGAGGACCAGCTAGGTTTGTGGAACTCAGTGGGAGACGGGGTCTTGTTTGATGCTATCTTCTCAATGAACTGTGACACAGTGTAAAGGGTGTGGTGCGAGAGGTGAGGCAGAGGTGCACAAGCTTTACTTGCTGGCCACACCTCTCTGTCGTGTGTCAGGAAGGGATGGGGGAATAGAGTGCCAGGAATTCTTGTCTGTGGAGGAGGCTATTTTAAAAGAAAATCCCCGGAATTTAGCTAACAAACGGGAAATTACCTTATTGGTGACTCAGGTGAGATTTTACATGGTTCTTATGTAGTGCTAAATTATGGACACTAGAGGGCAGCATTGTTGAAAGAAAAAATCCTGCCACGTTGTTTTACTTATGAATTATGGAAATTCATTCCATTTGTCTATTCTGACCTTGATAGAGAAATTTAAGTGTAAGATTTTAAAATAAAAGTGATGAAATTGTTTGCTTATTTATTTGTGTGTGTGTGTACCATAGTAGTTGGTGGAGGTCATAAGCCAGTTCTCCCCTGCCACCATGTATGAACCCTATAGATGAAACTTGCAGTAAGCACCCTTATCTACTGAGCCATCTTGACAGCTCACGGAATTCGTTTAAAGGTGTACAATATCAGAACATTAATTCTGAGTGGGGAAAGGACAATAGAATGAGTATTTAAGGTGCTACATTCATACTCGGAGAAAGAACACTCTAGAAATGTGGTAAAGTCTGCCTCCCCAGGACTGATCCTGGCTCTCCCTGTCCAGATGTTTCTAGAAGCCTCACCCTACACCCTAAAACCAATCCCACCCACTACCCCTAAGACTGAGCTCTTAAACACAGCCCACGCAAAAGGCTATACTGAAGTTCTAATATGTTAGTCAGGCTGAGGCCCTGGCACGAATAATTTAGAAACTTGGCCTAGTTGATTCTCATATACAGCCTGGGGTAAGAAGCCCTTTACTTGTAGCTCTGGTCTCAAAGTGCAGCTTCCAGGCAACAGCTGCAGTAGCAGGCAGGAACTTACTACAAATGTACAACCTAGAGTAATACCTTATTCTAACGGACTGCAAATCGTGTGGTAGAGTCGCTCTGACCCCTGAAGTCTGAGCATCACTGTGTGCTTTCCAAGCAAGCCATCTCCATGGTGAAATTCTCCATGCTCCTCTTCCACGTTTTTCTAGTCAGCGCTTCATGTAACCTTAGCCATTTGCCTTAGTACTTCTGCGAGTGTATAGTAAGATGAGCACACATGCACACCCGTACACTGACATGAATCAGATCGCCTGGAGAAGCTGCTAGACATACCTTCTATACCTTGTTCTGAGTCTCGGCTTCCTTTAATGAGACTTTATGTCCCCTCCCCCTTCTTTCTATTTTCTTCTTCTCTCCCTTTTCAGTTTCTCCCTTCTGTCTCAGAGTAGAGTCTGACCTAGAACTTGCTAGGTAGGTAGCTGAGGCTGGCTTCAAATTTGTAGTCCTCCTGGCTCAGTTTCCTGGGTGCTTGGATTAATATATATGCATCTATAATTACAGGTATGCCTGGCTTCTACAGAATTATATCTGTCTGTCAGTCTGCCTGCCTGTCTGTCTACCTATCTATCATCTATCTAAATGGCCACAAGATTTTGTTAGGCCTTCCCAACGTTTCTCAGGTTGAAATCATCCTTCATTAATCTGATGATTCTCCCTGGGGCCCTGAGGCCACAAGGAGATGACCTTCATAAATCAGTCAAGTCAGTTTTGCTCTCTAGGTATCTTATTTCCATCTGTAACACTAAGGTGACATTAGTCCTGTAGAATTTGTTTGCAGATGGTACAGATCCTGTATGTAGATGATTTGAAGCACCAGTGCTACCTGCATAGCCAGTGAATGGAATGTGGCC